CGATCTCAGAGAGTTCATGGTTTGACTGACATGGGTAAAACTGCTGCGACAGACTTTCTGCCAATAAAGGCAAAAGGTTCAATTAAGCTTAAATTTACTGTGTAGGAGATGTGTAAGCATAAAATATCTCATTGTATTGCTCTCAACCATAAAATATGCTTTTGCAATTATGAGGCGTGCAGTGTGAGCAGAGTTGAAGAGAGACATGTGTAACATTTACTGTCACATTACAGTAAATGTAGTTTGCTCAGTTGTTAGGGAATTTTAAGAGGTAAGACTGACATTTTTCTGAAAAGGTTTGGTCTTTGGTTGCGGACTGTATTGGCTCACAGCGCAGAGGTTGGTATAGATTACATAAAATAAAAAAAGTTGAATTAGGAGAAAAATCATACCACTTAACCTTTTGGGTTGCCATTAGTTTAATGTGGTTCTGATAGGAAGAAGCCAGGCTTTTTCACGCAGTCAGTGAAGAGAAGTTGAGACTTTTGTCATCACCAGCAAAAATGAAGGGTTTTTTTTTGTTTTAATTTTCTAAAACTTTCCCAGACACATCAAATAATAAAAAGAGTGGAGCTGTAAAGGCTCCTGCTGATGTTTTGTGCCCAATTTCAGTATCTTATTCAATGAAATGTTTTAATTGCGATTCCTTGTATTTGTCAGAATTTGTATTCAACCCGTAAAGGACAAAAAAGTCAACAAAAGCCCCCAAAACAAAATAAAGGAAGCAGGTATATATATATATATATATATACACAAAAAATTAGTTAATATTTTTCATTAGATTTTGTCATTCTAGTTCCATCTTTTAAAAACTCCATTCTAAAGAGGATTCTGGTTTAATTTGTCCTTCTTCACAGTTGTACTGCATTCAGTTTAAATCTTAAATCTTCCTCTGTGCAGCTAAAATGTATAGATTTAAAAAACAAACGGTGGTTGTGAATCAACCCAGTCACATTAGTTAATCAAACATCTCCTACATAAAATAAAGACATGTTCTTAGACTCATCCTGCAGATGCCTGATACGTGTGTGTGTGTGTGTGTTCTGAACCTTAAATGTGGCTTTGCTGTATTTTCAAGTTTCCCTTTTCTTAATCCTGTCCTCTCAGGAGCGTGCATTAAAGGCGTTCTTCCACGTCTTATTACAGCATTGCTGTGGTTTTTATGTGAGGATTTGCACTCTAATCTTTAGACGGCCCTGGCGATTAGTTTATCACATCAACAAAACTGACTATCTGCTTGTGTTCTTCAGGCCACACAGTGGATGTAAGCCTGGCAGCCTCCTCTCCGCAGCCTTGAGACTGCTCACGGTGTAATTATAATCTGGCTGTTACTGTAAATACCAGATTCCTTTTCCACTCGCGAATAACTTAGCTGTGTGGGAGATGAAAATATGCACGTGTGTGTGTGTGGAGGGGAGGATGGAGGGAAGTCCTGCCGTTACTAGAAATAAGATTTCAGGCTTGGTGTACATCCCCTTCCGATCTCCGGTTTTCATTCCCATTGAAAAGAATTCCACAGTTTGGCAACGAAAACTCTTCAAGGTCACTCTGCTCCCCCCAACCCCCACCTCCTCCCAATGCAGCCCACAGGTCGTCCGTCACCCGATATACACGAGAACACTATGTGACTAAAACATGGCACTAGTGAGCCCATAAGAGGTGTGCTGCAGTCTTCTCCCTGCAGGCAGGTGTAGCACCAGTAAGAGGACTGTGTGCCGTGCTTTGTAGTGCCACGGAGAGAAGAAGATCGGAGTGGGATCAAACTGCACATGTTCAGAATGCTCGATAATGATTCATTTCAGAAGGAAACTAGTTTCATTTGGCTTCTGATGTCTGGTAATCTGAAACTGGGCGTCAAACTCGTGTATTGAAAGTTGCAGACTGACAGGTTTTTTGCTTTTGTAACGTCGAATCCTTGATGGTTGTCCCGCCCTTCTCTCATGGGGTACACATGTTAACAGACACTTTAAAGTGCAAAGATCTTTGACAGGTTTCATCAGTTTGACTAAATGTAAAATCATCAGCATTTTATTTATGATGATCAACAACAACAAAAAACAGTTGTTATTCTTAATCCTTTCAGACAGCCTAATTTTCTTCAGTGTGTATTTCTGCATGAAACAGATTGTGGACAGGAAGAATCCAAAGCAAGGAAGAGCACTGTTTTAGACATATAAAATAAAAGTAAAGAAAAATACTGTATTGTCACGTTACAACTTTTGTAAAGGTATACACCACACGCATTTGGGTCATGGTCGTGCACTAATTTAAAGAAGACTGCACTGCAGATTTAAATAGTGCACACTCCAAAACTTATATCTTTCACGAGGCAGCGGCTTTATTCAGCATCTTTAAGGCTCACTCAGTGTGCTGGACTATTACCCGCCCTCTCCTTGTGTTTGCTTCCTCTCCCTTTTCTTTCCTCTCTCTCCTTCCTCCTTCACTCATCCTCTCCCTCTCTCAGGTGTGGCAAGTGAGAGCGCTTAGTAATAGCTTTGTCCTTTATTTGACGGAGGACTGGTGTTCTAGAATCTGGCGTCTTTATTAGGATTTACTTGTAATTTAGCTTTTCTTATTGTGTTGCTCTTGGGAGGGAAACAAGTCTTGTTGGCAATTTGAACCTTGGGCGTGGCATCCTCTTTATGGATGTACTTGGTATGAGTCGTAATGAACAGTGTTACTGCTGATGGTTTGATCATCAGCCGATCTGCTGGTGATTGCTTGTTGGCTTGTGGAGCCACTATCACGTGTTATTTTTTTATATATCAAAGAATGAAAGAATTTATTTATTAGCTAGGGTTTTAACTGACTTTAGGGTTATTTTTTCTTGTTTTCTCTTTTTTCGCCATCTATTTTGGCACATTTTAGCTTTGATGAATGTTTGATGACATGCTTTGAGATATATTTCAGACTGAAGAACAGTACTGGTGGATATAAACCTGTGTGTGTGTGTGTGTGTGTGTGTGTGTGTGTGTGTGTGGGTGCAGATTGTTTTAAATGTATTTATTATTTAATATATTTTATAGGTGGAAACTTACAGGAATTGTTGATTTGCCATTTAGAATTTTTGTAGCTCGCCCAGGATTTCAAATGCATCCAGCTAAACTACATCTTGAAAAGGTGGATCATTTGATGATCTTATTTTACAGATTATCTTAATTTGGCTCATAATCTGCTTTTCATGAAAAACAAATCTTAGCAGCCAGGAATAGCACAGTTCTCCCATCATATGAGCCATGCGAGTTGTCACTTCCAGTTAGAACTTGAATAGAAATCCAAGCAAAAGCAGGTTGCACAGATTTGTGAGTTGGCCCTTTTAGCATTTAGTTGAAGTGACCAGCATTGTATCCAGGCAACCATATGAAAAACCACTCATGTGATTACCTGACTTCAACTAAATCTGTGGGGAAAATTGTGAATCATAGTGTGATTCCATCCCAAAAAAGAGAAAGCTGACTGCTTCGAAACGAAGCACAGCGCCACTGTGTCAGTAAACCTCCTCATCATTGGCACATTTATAACTGGTGCACAGAGTTTAGCTGAGATTTCCAGGTTGAACAGCATTGTTTAACTGAAACAACAGACTTTAAGTAGCTTTGCTCCTTTTTAGTGGAAATGTATGTGTTACCGTTATTAGAAGCAATTTGGCACCTTAAAATGGCACTGAACACAATGAATGGGTTTTGTTAGATGTCGGTACCTCAGGTAAAATGTTTGACCTAATTCTGCAACAATCAAAGTAATGGGAAAGAATCCATATTTTGAAAAGGTTAACTTGTTAGTTGTTAGTTTACTAGTTGTTAATTTTTAGCTGCTTCCCATTTACATTTAACAAAATAAGTATAAGTTTAAGAGATTTTTTTTCATTTTATCAATTATTTAGATCATTCCTTTATGCCCTGTGAAGGTAAAATATATTTTAAAAATACTGGTATACAAAGGATTCAACAAACATCACAATACATCTAAATAATTTCATTACTATAGAAGAAGAGTGTTATGGAAGCCTTATAAACTTTGGGTGAAGTGTGGTATAAAAACAAAAATTAAACAAAGATATTAAACAGAGCGCTGACTGTGAAAGAAAGAAAGACTGGCTGCAACAAAACAAGTAACACGTTTGAATAAATTATTGTTGTTATATTATTATTGTTAAAGTTTATCATCTTGGGCGTATTTGCCTGCAGCCGGCATCTAAAGTTCAAAACTGCTCTCCTTCACTTTGCAGTTCAGGCTACAAACAGCTGCTGACGCCTGAAACTGTCTCATTCGGCTCTGCTGTGGATTTAATTCAGTTTGCTCGGATTGGTTCTTGTCACTCTGGACTCTCTGTCTGACTCTTTAATACATATATTTGTATCTGAGTGTTGATGTTTTTTGACAACCTGACTTGGAGTAGGTGTATCTGATGACTTATGGTCATGCACTAGTGCGTGCGTTTATGACTTATTGTGCTGTTACTGGTGCTGCTGGGTGCTGCATTATTTTCACAGTTCACATTTGTAATGATTTCCGTTGAATTTGTGTGGTAAATGTAATCAGAAAAGTTATTGGTAATGTTATCTCAGATATTTTAATCACATGGATACATCCATGTGCAGTTTTGCTTAATTAAAAAGAGAACTTCACAGTGTTTGCTTACTCTAAAATTATCTTACATTTCCAGCCAATTATCAGCGTCCTTAGCTACTTTGACTATCCATTACGTTGGAGATCAGTGACCCTGATGTTCAGAAATATCTTTTAGTTTATACAGTTAAACAGCTGCCATTTATATTCTTTTGTGTTGCCTCTAAAGACTATACAGTGGACACAATGTTAAAGTGAAAGGGGCCCTATTGCGCTCATTTCTGATTTTCCATATTTTTATTATTTGATTCTACTAGTTTTGTATGATTCACAACTGCAAATAATCCTCATGTAATTAAGATGAGCACTGATGTAGCCCTCTCAATGCTATTTCATTCCTTTCCCTTTTATGCCAGCTTTCTCCTGATTGGCTGCTCCTTGCAAGTAAAAGATGTGGCCAGCAGGTGAGTGGGGCTTCGTTGATGTGTTAGTTTTTAAGTTATTTCTGCTCCACAAATCAGGTGATTGCTCCTGGATAAACCAGTTATCCAGTTTAGGAATCAGTTACTTTTCCATATAGAGTCAGGTGTGTATTTACTTGAGTTTTCTTTGTGTTGTATTACAATTTGTGTAACAAAAACGCAAATACTTTTACACAAAACTGTAGACCAGACTTGGCAACCAACTTTATTTATGGTAATTTTCTATTATCAGAGGATGAATGAATGAGTATCAGAGGCACATAACTGTCCTCTACTATGTAAATATATATATTTTTTCAAAGAGGCTAGTTAGCATATACTTACTTCAGAAGATGATCCACCAGGATAGCCCTATTTTTTCTGTGTACCGCCTGCTTGTTTGCTTAGCAGATAAACTTGTACATGTTAACAGGATAACTTGTCCACTATTAGCAGATAAACTTGTTTAAAATCATGTAACCATAATCATATGTTAACACAAACTGAATACTATAGATAGTTTGTTGATTTTCTCTTTGCTTTTTAATCAAGAGGCCATGAGCTAACCACTTTATTTAAAAAAAACAAGTCAGTGTCATTTAGGGTAATGCATGAATGCACCAGTCTCTTAGATGTTTTCTGGTAGCTTTTGAATTCAGCTTACAATTACCGATACCCTGTGTGCACATGTGACATGATCCATGCATATCAGGGGTTTCGTTCACACGTACTACATTTTTAAAGTGAAAAAGATTATATTTGTTAGGTTGATATTAAACATTTTTGCATTAAATGATCACTGTTTGCTCAGGTTAGGAAATGCACATTTGTAAATTATTTTACATGTTCAAATTAGCCAAATTATGCAGATTGCCCACTCTGCTCTCACTAGATCTTATTCATCTACTTAGTTACTTTCTTAACCAAATTTTGCCTCTAGTGACCTTTATTTCTCAATTTTGTGAAGACCCGTCAGAAACTAAAGTTGTAAAATGATACTGCAGTGAATACCTTTGATAGGTTACCAGACTCAGTTCTTGCTCATGGAAAATAACTTGTCTGTCATCGTGGCCTCTGTAAATCAGTTTAAAATGTATGTCAAAGTGTAAAGTGCTGTGCAAAAGTCTTGACCCACAATTTCTCTATTTTTTGCTCCCAAGGAACCAGACTTGAGATTTAAAACAAAAAAAGTGGTTTTGAGCTGTAGTTCTCCAGGCTTTCTGAAGGTCTTTCAAGTTTTTCTTTGGGCATTGGCTGCTTTTCCACTCATTTACAGGCCAATCCTTGTAGCTGACTATTTTTAGAGGAATAATCATGAAAGGCACCTGTCTCAAGGGATGAACCAGCATTGTGTGTACACATAACAGATGGCTTAGCAAGGAGCCAATTCAAAACTGTATCTTTTGCAGTCTTTTGCTACCAGCCAGCAATAAAACCGTATAATTTATTCTCATTTCTATTTTTAGATAGATAAACAGAGTTTGACTGGCATCAAATGGAATCTTTCCACAAACGAGGTGATTTTGAGCTCAACTGGGAGAACCTAGTCAACTATTACTTATGTACTCCACAAATCTGGCTTTTATGGAAGAATGGCAGCTTGAATACATCATCCCCACTGTGAAGCATGGTGGTGGTAGCGTCATGATGCAGTGGTGCCTTTTTTCAACAGGAACAGGATAGCTGGTCAGAGTTGATGGGAAGATGGATGGTGCTAAATACAGGTCAATCCTGTAAGAAGTCATGTTAGAGGCTGCAAAAGACTTGAGACTGTGATGGGGGTTCCCCTTAATCACAGTATACTCACATGTCCCTGTTAAAATGCAAAAGAATCTGTGGCAAGCCTTTTAAATTGGTGTTCATAAATGCCCTCCGTCCAATCTGACTGAACTGAAGCTATTGTTCATAGAAGAATGGGCAAAAATTGAAGTCTGAATGTGCAAAGGTGGTAGAGACATGCCCATGGCAACTGCAGTGACAGGTGGTTTGGTATGGTTTTGACTCAGGAGGACTGAATACAAACGCACTTCACACTTTTCAGACTTTTATTTATAACGAATTTTGAACATCATGTATGACATCACTTCCACTTTACAATTACAGTATGCACTACTTTGTGTTGGTCTGTCGTATAAATTTACAATAACATTTAAGTTTGTAGTTGTAACAGGACAAAATGTGGAAAAGTTTAAGGGTTGTGAATACTTTTTCAAGGCACTGTATCTACTGCAGACGAATAGTGTCTGAAGTTCATGTCCTTAAGAAAAAAAGGATTCTCTTTAATTCAACTCATTTCAATTTTATTTATATAGCAGTCACAACTGTTGCCACTAGGGATGGGTACCGGTGTCCAGTGCCATCATAAACGGTAGTAACCAGACCGAAAAGCAGCGCACATTTCGGTGCTTTATTTCGGTGCTTTTTTTTCCTGAGCTGTGATACACTTCTAGCCAATCATTTTACGTTTCCGAGGATAGTAGGCGGGTCCAGGTACGTACGTTCCTTTAGAGCAGAGCTACAGATTAAAAATGCCCAAGGCGAAGCAGTCAAAGTCTGGCTGTACTTCACAGCAAAATATGCAAACTCAGCAGCCTGCAACAAGTGCTTTAAGGTGATACTGTGCAAAGGAGGTAACACCTCAAATCCGATGAAACACCTGACGACGCATAGCGTTTTTTTTTTAAGCCGAGAAATGTGCCGTATTTGATGGCAGCAGCAGCCGTTCTTCTCTGCGTGAGTAGCTTTATGTTGTTCGTGTGTAATTTACGTTGAGTGGGCTAACCACGTTATTACATGAATGCATGTAAGGTGAACTAGCTACTATCATCATAGCTACATGCAGCTGTCTTCTTGTTTGATGGCAGATACTCCCTTCACCCTGGCCAAAAAGGCTAAAATGACCAAAGAAAAAGAGGGAAACAGCTAAACATGAGAGGTTTTTGGACAAAGTTTGTATTTTTTCCATTGTTTAAGCACTGCTTCCAGCCAAGAGTGATACCATATATGCCCCATAGCTGCAGAAAAGGCTAACATTGTTATCTTTTTACAAAAAACCAGCTGAATATGAGAGGTTTTTGGACCAATTTTGTGTTCTCCATTCTTTAAGCACCGGTTGGAGCACCGTTTGAGCACCGGCACCGTTTCAAAAGTACCGAAAACCTAAACGATACCCATCCCTAGTTGCCACAAGTTTCACTTCACTTCACTTCAATTCAATTTTCAATTTATTTTTTTTATACAGCACAAAATTACAACAGTCACCTCAACCTCTTGCAAAACCAGGCTCGTGGAGGAGCAGCCACGACTGTTTGGGGAGGAGGAAACAGGACAATAGACACGCTGCGGAAGAGAGCCAGAGATTAATAATAGCTAATGATTAAATGCAGACGGGAGTATAAACACATAGAGAGTGAAAAGAGGAGCATGAAGAAGAATGGTTCATTGCGTCATGGGAAACCCAGCAGCCTAGGCTTATTGCAATGGAATTAGGGGCAGAGAGACAGGACAAAAGGCAAACTATGGAAGAAAGCCTGAGTTTAATCATTGCTTATGGTATACGTTAGTGGTGCAACGGCTCAAAAATCTCGTGGTGACAAAATTTTAATATTTACTTATTAACTTATTTAAGTATTTTTGCCTTTTAAAAAACTCAACTATAATTGCTTATGGTATACTCAACTCAAGACTCATTCCACGCAATTATAAAAAAACAAATTAAGGTAAAATATAGGGCAGTACAGGGCTTTGTATCTACCACTCCGTAGCTTTCCGTTTCCCTGGAGGTCCACCCGTTTGTAGTTGGGCAACAGAAGATGCCTGGGACAGTTCAGCCATAACTTTAAACTTTTCCTGCTCATACATGCTTGGAACGATCTTGCGGGATATCATAGCGTGTCTCAAGCACGTTCATCATAGATTAAACCCCTTGTTTTGCACAACGGAATATGGCCTCCCGTCTGCAGCTAAACACCCCAGTAGCTTTTGTAATAGCTTTAGCCCGGGCGGACTGGGCAGCAAAGGGCTGCTTAAATACTGCAAACTCCTCTACTCCTCCACTTGGACCGCTAGCGCTGGCCATAACTATCGCTGGCCATAACTATCGCTTGACAGACCCACCAGATTCCTTTTTCGAATCTTTGGATCATGTGCGTGCCGAACCGTGGAGTGGGATCGGTTCGGATTACGGATCATTCGTGATCCGTTGCACCACTAGTATACATCAGGTCCTTCAGTTGATCCTTCTACTGTTCTACAAAGTCTCATCAAAACTTGTCTCAATGGAAGGCCATTCTTAAGGAAGTGAACTGGACTAACAAACGTTTGCAACAGAACTTTGAAGTTTTTGCTCAGATTGTCTCGCCGTGGAGGTCAAGAGAGGTCACTGAGTGTAGTCATCTATAAAACATAATGTAGGCTGTGTCATGGTTTGGTGCTGGATTTTAGTTGTGTTGGAGATCCTGATGGAATTTACGGACTGATGGAAATATGAACCTGCGAATGCAACAAAGTACAGTCAAAAGCACAGATTCGACATACAATACCATTTGGAAAGTATCTCATTGTCAACTACTCCATTTTTCTGCTTAACAATGATTTCGAACACTCCCAATACAATATAAGTAAACCAGGATAGAAAAACACACAACTGAACACTCTCAGCCAGGGACTAGGCCTCCTCAGAGCTCAGACCTCAATGTTATCAAAGCAGTTTATGATCATCTTGAAAGAAAACAGACAGCAACAAAAATCCAAAGAAGAGCTTTGGAATGTTCTTAAAGAAGCCTGGAGAACTATTCCTGAAGACTTCTTAAAGAAATGTCAAGAAAGCTCCTCCACTGCATTTTGATACTGTCCTCTGTTAGGCAAAAAACTGTATGGTGGTAACCTATTAGGCAAGTAATAGGTCAAGATCACCTCTAGATGGTCAGGAACCAGCAGCTTCACCAGCTTCTCTTCTTGTGATCAGGACAATTTTTTAGTTGCGTAGCAATTCTCCCTTGAGC